AGTGAAACCGGAATCTGCACATATGTCACCATTCGAGTCTAGTACTCTCCTTTTGGGGTGACGTTCCATCTATATAAACAATATGGTGCCAAATGTTGACATGTTAGTACCAGCCAATCTGAGTCCTACCTACATCTGTTATCTAGGCTCACCATTCCAATACAACAGTGCTTCTTGCATTCCACATCAGTCCTTATGTTAAATCGTTTGTCGATCATCTACCCATTTACCGTGGAAATCTCGTTTAAGCCATCTCAATTAACTGCATAACATATTGTGTATGGCATATCCGCAATCACCAAGACAGATTGGTCCTTGCATTTCTAACAAGAGGCCCCACAGCTCGACAGCTGGGTGTCTGTGAGTGGTTGGTTTACTCCTTCAAATACGGTTCTGTTTCTTGATCACTGTTTTGTTTGACGGGACATTGTGCATAACCTGACTCGACATTCCTTTCAATTTTTTAATAGGGCCTGGTCTCTGAGCTGAATGGCCTCCCAGAGCAATGTGAACCTCACCTGGCTATTTGAAATGTTAGGGTCATCGTTATTTTTGAATCATTGCTACTGTTCCATAATACAGAATTTAATGGACGAATTAATTGATCAACTGATCAACTGACAGTGTGAAATGCAAGCCTGAAGGCTTGAACACTTCAGATATCTTACAACCAGGCCAATGGATCTTTAAAGCATGTTGTATTACTTTGTCGTATTTTGCTGCCACAGCTCCACTTGCAGCCGCACTTCTGAATTGGAAGCAAGAAGGACGTCCACCGATGACAATCTGGTCTTACCACATGTGTCAAATAACGCAAGCAGTGAGTCTGATATTATCCTGGGTGGAGCATTATAACTGCACCGGTTCGCTGTCCAAACCCAATTGGATATGGTTATGGTGTGTATCAGTAAGTAATTGGGATATTGTTGATTACCTCCGTTGGTAGATACATTTGTATGTCCTCGGCCTCGTTTCTGGCAACCCACTCCACATTTTTTACTCAGTATGCAATATTGAGTAAAACCATTTTTTTAAACCTCAGATGTGAAATCCCCACCGCCGCTGTATGCCATGGTGAGCTTCATGATCTCAAGTTAAGTTAAGGCCTGATAATAGGTACTAAGGATTGACTTAGAGAAAAGAAATTCCTATGATGAATTCGTCGTGTAAGTGAGCCGTGAGCTCAANTGGGAATATACACGATATAGCACAATTCATCCATGCGAGTTTGTTGCGAGTATCGGTCCTCGCTTATCTCAGCACTAGCCTCCTGGGCTATGTGTAGTGTTTGAACTACGCACTGATCATGAATAAAGAATCACGTGGCAGAAATGACGGATGACACGTAAGCCTTGAATCACATTAGCACTTGGATGAACATATCCCACGGAACCCAGTCGAAAGGAAAAGGGCACAAGAGTTGCAGTTTATTTATTGAAAAAATCATGAGGTTTAAACAATATTTCCAAACGACATTCCGTCATTATTCAGGTATCTACCAATCGCCTGTTGGACTTTGTGGAGCCGTACAGCTTCTGTCTGCGTCGCACAGGTTCTGATTGGTCGGTAACTTCAAGTGAATCCAACCAATCGCATTCCATTGAAAGCACACAAGGTTATTGGTGCTTTGGCCGTCAAATGTCACCAATTAGACCGGCTCTGACTGACCCCGTCCAGTCCGATTAAACTAACCTCTGTGTAAACAATGAAAAAAACTTTTTAACCGAGTTGCCGAGCGAGAATGAATGATTTTTGAGGTGGTGGTAAGGTGGGTCGTTCTCCCCGCGTCCCGCCACCCCTCACAGAATCCCCCCTCGGTAACGTTAAGTTCGTGATCGTTGATCGGGTGTGCGTCATAGATACGAATGAACCACCCCGGAATTGATTGAACCACCGAGTATGGCATGAAAAAATCATTATGCATTGTTGACAAATGATTGAAAATGAATTCTTGTAGCTCGGGTGAACTGAATCTATTTCGGCTGTTCGCCGAGCTTGGCAAATTGTTTGCAAACGTTTCATCACCAACCAAGGTGAAATCATCAGTGATTCTGAAGTGGCAGTCTTCTGTTTGTGTCCGTTTGTTTATATATGTTCTTCTCCACCGACAATTGTCGTCCCTTGTTCTCATTGTATTCGACTGGGTTCGCCGTTAAACTGGTGCGTGGGGACGAGGTTGGTAGGGGAGGTGGTTTTCCATCCGTCCTGATTGCGGTTTCGGTCCGTTCTTAGGTCACGCCGTGACCTTTTTTGTTGCGTCATTTGATCCTTGAGTTGCATTGGCGTGTACAAGTGATCCACCTCAATGTGCCTGTTGATTGAGTTGATTGAGGAGTGCCAAGTTTCGAGAAACGAACGGACACAAGCAGAAGACTGCCACTTCACGAGCACTGATGATGTCACCTCGGCTGGTGATGAGACGTTTGCAAACAAATTGCCAATCTCGGCGAACAGGCGAAATAGAATTGTACATAGTGTCATATCAGTTTGAACAGAGTGGAACCTTGTTGTTGCCAGGGCTATAACAGCGATTGCCGTATGTGAAATCCTTTACATTCTACTCATTTCCTACTTGACCGTCTTTTTCTCACTTTATCACACTTGTTTTATTCATTCCTGTCTAACATTTCTCATATCGTATCCACTTCACAGATGCTACCTGGCTTTGT